CAATTTAAATTTAAACTATAATTTAAATCACCGAATAAAGTTTTTTGTTCAAATAAAAAAATTTAAATCAACAAAATTCAAACAAACCAAACGGTGCTTAATTGTACCATAGACATACAAATTAGTATACTCAGGAAGATCTTCTATGTATATTATCTATAGAACGAACTCAATCTTTTACAAGGACTTTTGTACAAGTACAGATGTTGGGAAGAAAAATGCAAAAGACAAAATTTATATATATATAGACCTGGCATTTAACATGTTCTTACTAACTTAGAAAAACTGATCCTGAAATTGAGCCCACACGTACATTTTTATGTGCTCTCATCGTCGGATGAACTGTACGGTCGCTTTGGGGTTACACCTAAAACTTGTGCCAGCATTGGATTCACTGGAACAGGAAATTTATGGGCAGAGCTAACAATTGTCCGTTCATTTATCATACCAACTTCCTTGCACACCCGATCAAGGACCGTAAGGAAGTCTCTCACCACCATGAAGATTCTGAAGGGATGAGCTTCTTCCTTGGCTGAGTTTCCATGGAAGTACTCGGTGATCTCCTTAACTAGTGATAGAGCAACGCTCTCTTGGGCTTGAATTCTTATAATCTCTTCCTCAGCCATTTTCATGAACCTGTTCATCGATTCAGAGAATTTTTGGTTACTTTCGTCTAATCCTGTAGTCTCGTTTAGTTTCACAACCTCCTTTATGTCGCTAATTCCTTTAGACAGCTTGGAGACATCACTACTGAGCACGTCGGAGTCCATGGCAGCAGCTTTCTTCACGTTGGTGAGCTCTGAACTGAGACCAGAAACAACTTGAAGGCCAAGCTTCCTGCATTTGGCATCGTCGTTCAAAGTGGAGCTTGGAGCATCGTTGGAAGTGGAGAAACGAGCACCTTCGGTCCTTATGATTTCTTGCACAACGAAATGCAAGAGTGTGGTTTTCCCATCAGCTCCCTTGACGTCAGCAAGCTTGAGAAGTGTGTCGAGCTTGAAGGCATGAGCGTCACCACGGTTGGTTCCAACATTCATTCTGTTCCCAGTCTTGAGAACCGCTTCTAGGAGCTTCATGAACATCCTACTGTTTCTCAATTCTTCACAGGCAGACTGTAGAACAAAGCAACCAATTAGATGAGCGTCCCTCTTTTCATTAGCTACATCGAGCTAGAGGATCCTTCAAAACTAATTGAAGTAATTACTTCACTAACAGCAACTAAAGAAACTGGAGAACAGGACCCTCAAAAATTACATGTGGATTATGTGCATCTCCATTTTCGGATAAGCACATAAAAGTGGCAGAAAAAGAAAACCATAGATGAATTCCATAAGAGGGAGAGAGGTAGGGAGACACTGAACTTACCTCTAAAGTTTCAAAAGACTTTTTAAGGTAATCAACCTCAGACTCAAAATTAGCAATGTAAAGCATTGCATCGACCCTTTTAAATGCAAAGGGTACATCAAGCACTGCCTTAAGAAATCTCTCGGCAGGTCCAAGCTTGACTGGTGAATCATCTTTGTACTCATTCAGCTTACGTTCCTCCTCTTTTGTCGGAGCCATCTTCAATAAGCTTTCAAGTAGTTCACTTCCAAGCGCATCTGCATTACCTGCATTCCAATTGAAATATTTTCTTCATTTTCC